CGGAGAGTTGTGGAGCCATACGGTGCGTAAAGTGTGTGTCAGTGTCGACGGGGTGTGTGTGAGTGAGTGTGTGTCGGTCAGAGGGACGAAGCGGTGGAGGCGTCCAGGGCCGGAGCCGCCATGTTCCTCCAGCTCAGAGGCTCCTCTCTCGGCTGTTTATCTTCACCAGCAGCCCCCCCTCCTCCATCACCGCCACCTCCACTCATCTCATTACCACTCTGCTGAGCTCAGTGTCACTCTGCCATTCTCTCTCTCTCTCTCTCTCTCTCCACCCCACACGCACACACAGGGAGACACACACACACACACACGGACACACATACTACTGACAGCTCTTTTACCCAACCTAAACAAATGGAGATTTTTTTGTATTTGTATGTTGTCAATGTAGACCTAATTTAAGTTTATTTTTAGATACTGTCTGTGCATAATAAAGAACACAACACTGCATCACATTATATATTGTGCAATGTAACATTATAAATTGAAATACTGATGTAAAGCACAAGAAGTAGGTATTCTTACTGTTCACTTTGTTTGACAAGTTTACTTCTTATTGATCATCAGAACCACTGTAAAATACCAGATGTTTTATTCTACAGGATTAATGCATTGTAGTCATTTATTATGAGTGGTCAAGTTGATGGGTTTATGTAGACAATCTACAGTGAGTGATCTGACAGTAAAAAACTCTTTGTGTATCTATTACAAATCCCCAAACATCAGATTGTTTCAGAGCTGTGGACATGGGAACAGAGGAGAGGTCGAGCACAGGTCAACGCAGAATATCTGATCATTACTCAGAGGAACACTGCGTCACCATCATGACGATGATATTAGATCACATTCAGATGTTCACATGTATTATTCATTCATTTAAAAACATATCCCTAACGATGATCTCATTACAAAGTACACAGTTGATTTTATTCATCATAGTCAGAAAATACATTACATCACTGTAGTAGCCAACAATCTCTCCACCACACCATTTCTACATCTTTCTTTATCATATACAAAATATTTGTAAAGTTGTATGTTACAGTGAGTGTACAATCAAAGTTCTGCCCAATAAAAGTATTAGTGGATACTGCCACCTAGTGACTGACTGAGGAATAGCATCACTTGTAGAACAGGTGCTTCATTTTTCAAGAAAGAGACCAGATTTAATACAACTTTTTAAAAGGTGAGAGCATTTGGAAAAATTAACATATCTAAGTGCTGCTTTGGATTTCAATATATCGATTTTTAGAAGACATCTGTTACAGTCAACACTCTGAGAGAACACCACATTTAATATGTGTTTAAAGTCAACAAAAAAAGTGCTTCCTGAGAGACGAAACTTGGGGAAAATTCTACCAAGGAAGACGAAAAAGAAGCAATATTATTCTGTGCAAACTGTGTCTACTTTTCCATTTTCCCACCAGCTAAATGCACCTGACTTACAGACAAATATAAACCTTAATACATGGTATTTGACACAGCAGCTCAGTCCAGGTGAGTGTGTGCTATTGGTCTGTATGCTCAGGAAACATCCAAGGCATCGAGTGTGACCTCCATCCCTGATCTATCTGTCAATCAGAGTATCTAAGGCAATTGATCAGGTTATTTTTGATTGAAAAGTTAGGATATATCATTCAGCTGAATATTCCTCATCCTTGCCAAATATTACATTTCATGGCATCCAAGGATATCACAGGTTACTCTTCCATTTGATGTTCTTTGAAGATTCATTCACTGAAGAAAGAAAAAGTACACTTTTGAGTGCAGAGCATCAACAACACCACACTCAATTTATACGAACCATTTACTCCCTTTTACTCATTGTAATGTTCACAGACCAAACTGATGCTTTAAGGTTTAACAGTTACATACCCAGGCTGATCTTGCCCTCTTTCTCCAGTTTCTTTAAGTGATGCACCAGGTTCACATTAGCCGCTTGGTGCAGGTGTTCAGGAGTGTCCTGGGCAGGAAACGGGAAGAAGAATGCGTCAAATTTCTCCAAATAAAAACATGCATTTGCTTCTGACCTCCTCAAATGTACACAGACAATAAGCTTGGTTATTTGATTGCCTGCAGACCATGTGATTTCAATCCACTTCCATTGACTTATCCTAGCATTGGTGTCTACTTTAATGTGTTTACTTTGTATTTAAAAAGGAACTTTCTGATTGCATCTGTGACTTAAAAGAGTTTCTATCCAGTGTGGATGCCACCAAACAAGCTCATCCAGAGCTGCAGAGAATATAACTTTGCAATATTCCACATTAGCTCAAGGTGTACTATGACTACAGGCTGAACAAAGTACCAGACTGGATTCACTAGGGCACACTAGTCAGCCCAATTAAATAGGGTTAGACTGAAGCACTCTTTTGTGCTCCAGCAAATCCTAAACTTAAATACAGAGTTAAATCCCAGGACAAATATACGCTAAAGGGTCTTCAACATATAGTCTTCAGTGATCTTAATGGCCCGTCTACACAGCAGCGTTAAAAAAATCTTGAAACGCTTCTGCCCATTCACTTTGAATGGGGTGACGTCACTTTGCCTCACTTTTCGCCGAACTGCATTGTGGGCAGGCGAGCGGAGATTTCCAGGATTTTCAGGATTCAAAGCAATGTTCAACTTTTGAAGCTGAGGTGGAAGCGTCAGCCAATCAAATCCCGTGTATGCAAATCTGACAGTTCAAGCGCTAGCCAATCACACCGCGTGTATGCTGGGAGAGACATACCGCAGGTCATTTCCTCATATTCCAAAACATGGAGGAGAAATTAGCGGTAGGGAATCACCCGGTGCTTTATGACCAGTCCCTATTTACCTACCGGGATATAAACCGGAGGAGCCAGGCATGGAGGGAGGTGGCAGAGACAGTGGTATGTTTTCGCCTGTTTGGGGAGTTTATATCCAGTTTACTTCGGGCTTTTTTGCTTCGTATGTCGGGGGCGGGAGATTCATGTGATTGGTTGTTGGTCGCCTTGCTCGCAAAAAATCCCCAAGCTTCAGATACGCCCACCTCCAAGATTTTTTTAACGCTGCTGTGTGGATGGGCCGTAAGGTTATGTGTCTTGTCTCAATTTTTCAATCACGAAAAGCCTGATCTGACAGTAAAGTATTATCCTATCCTATGGTATAGTTTCCGTCCCGACCTTATAGACGATCTTGACGAGCTCCATGGAGGAGAACGATGCTCCCTCTCCCTGCTGGATGGCCTCCAGGATCTGCTGCTCTCTCTGGGCTCGGTGGCTGATGTAGTGTCTGATCTTAGAGGCAGCGTCCTGCACCACAGGGCCGTGACCTGGAGAGAGAGTGAACAGCAGGGGGTTCATTTCAACATCTGGAAGACTCCACACAATGAAGCGTCAGACTGACTGATGGACACTTCTGTTGTTTATTCCAGGGACTTATTTCATTGTTGTGATATGATGGTGAAAGATTCTGTCTTCGACTCCTTGAATTTATATTTTGAGAGTAATTCATTTGCAAAAGAAGAGACCAAAGTTTTTTTTTATTTACTACAGGTATTGCAATAATAATATCGTTACTTTTTTGTTGTTGAGTTCAGTTCATCTTCATTCTCCCACTACGGGAGATTGACTTAACAAATTCAACAACAAAACAATATATATTATTACATTTTATTTTTTAATTGGACATTTTATTTCAACTTCTTACATTTAAAAGTTATTTAATTTTATCGTTTTATTCTGCATTCTGGCTTGAAATTCTTATGTTTATATGAACGTTTGACTTTATTTGTTTTAGTAAATATATCTTATATTTCAAATGTTCGTACAAACCCAGTTTCCCCCAGGATAAATAAAGTATTCTGATTCAACTATAAAAGGAAAAGTGTCATCCCAAGTAGTAAGCAAAGTATATCATTTGCTCCGAAGACCAGAAACTCTGACCTGAGGGGAGATGATCGAATGCCTCAAAAAAGTGACAATAAAAGACGACACTCATCCATAATTAGCCGTGATAAACGTGTAGTAAAAACCTAACATGACTTAATATACTATGGTGTGTGTTCTCCCTCACCGGGGTATATGCAGTCGGCCTGGGAGAGCAGCAGGACGTTCAGAGAGTTCATGTAGTCGAACAGATCCTCGAACACGGCGGTGCCCTCTCCCAGGATGCAGTCTCCAGAGAACAGAGAGCGCTCCTCCTGCAGCAGCAGAGCCATGTGGTCGTCAGAGTGACCCGGGGTGAAAAGCACTCTGGGAAAAAAGACATGGAAAACTCTCTGAATGTTGTTATCTGAGCGGGACATCAGTCAAATATACAATACTGTCCTCTGTCTTCCTGGGTTTCATATGTTGTTGCTTTGTAGTGGGGGGGTTTCATTGGGATTTCCTGTATTTTGAGCCTCTAGGTCACATGTGTCAAACTCAAGGCCCGGGGGCCAAATCAGGCCCTTGGTGGATTTAATTTCGGCCCGCAGGATAATTTTAAATTACTATTAGATCTGGCCCGCCGGTATATAGAGAACTGCAGTGACGCGTCCTAAAACCCGGAAGTAAGTTAGCATTTTTACCACGTCCGGTTCCTTCGACAAAAAGCAATGCAATTTCTCCATAGGACTTTGGAAAATAGCTGGAAATAAGGTCTGTGTTTGACACAAATTGAAGAGACAGATCACGTTTTGTTCTACGACATTAAATACATCAGCAGTGACCCCGCTGGTGATTTTTGAAGAGTTTACGTCTCTGAAAAACGATGGTTGTTACCAAGTGGCTGAATAGGACTACAGAAGTTGTCCAGGCCGTTTTACGTCATTACGCCGAACACGTAAACACTCCTCTAAGTTTGTTTGCCCTGTTCTGCTTGAAAGCAAGTGTCTGCCTCCTGCAAACTGTTCAAACAAACGCTTCAACTCGTACCATTTAGAATCTGTGTGTTTGAATATGGATCTTAAGTTGGCGTTGTGCGACCCTTCTGTAGTTCCTTTATAGCATAACGTTAGCATTTTGCTTCTGGCGACTAGATTTATGATTCGAACATTATAAAAGCAGGGTAGACATGTGGAGATTATCCGGCTGAACAAAACGTGATCCGTCTCTTAAATGTGTGTCAACCACAAACCTTATTTCCAGCTATTTTCCAAAATCCTATGGAGAAATTGCATTGCGTTTTTGACGAAGGAACCGGAAGGAGTTTACTTCCGGGTTTTAGGACGCGTCACTGCGGTTCTCTATTGCCCGCACACCTTCACTCCATCCTGAGGGTCTCCTCTGCTCAGAGCCTGACCCCAAACATTGATGAACTTGCACCCAAGATGAGATGCCAAGTATCTGGCTTGAACTAGCATCACAGAGCAGCACACTGAGTTTACATGGATGTTTCCTTCTGCCCTTTCTTTCTTGAGACAACAGGGCATGTTTGGTTTTCTCTTTGAGGGAAATAGTTTTTTTGAAGCTGTTGTCGGCCTGTGGAAAAATGTAATCATAAGAAATGACTCTGGAAAAGCTGCAGATCGAGCCATAAGAAATGAATGCAACTGATTATTTGATGTTTAATATTGTTTTTATAGGCAATCATTTAAGCTGTGTTAGTTCCAGGTTTAATATGTGCAATAAGTTCATTTCAATATGTTTTGTAATAAACATTGAACCAGTCCGGCCCTCGACTAGTACCCATTTTTTTATTTTGGCCCACTGTGTATCCGAGTTTGACACCCCTGCTCTATGTTGTTGTATAATGTTTTTATAATTATTACGCTATGACGTTTGTATTTAGTTTTTGTGTTTGCTTTGTGCAGCTCTTGTGATTTGGGGCTATAATACATTTGGATTTGATTTGATTTATGTGGCATGTTTCTAATGATTATTTATATTATAATTTGTTTTTAGGGTGACTTTGCAACATACACAACATTTAAAAATATTATATTAGTATACAAAAAAAGAAAGAACAATTTAGTGAATGACATATTACCCTTAAAAATATATATATAAAAATACGATGATGATATGGTTTGTTATTAAATACAAATACATGTAACACATATTATGCCGTTAATCTTGCACACTTATCTCTTCAAAATATCTTTAATTGGAGCAATGATTTGTATTAAACGATAACCTTAGTGCATGTAAATCACAGTTTTGTGTGTTTTCACTTCCTGCAAAGCTACTCAAAGTCCTGCCGGTTTAAAAAACTCCTAATATAACTTGCATACAAAGTGAACTGACTTCAGTGTGGCGCCTTCGGTCTGGACGACATCTCCGTCTTTCAGATAAGTAACGCTTTTATTTCCCGCTGTTTCTGTGACCTGGCTGGAGCGAGGCAGTTTGCTGACTCGGACCTCAGACCCTACAGGAGGAAGAACAGAGAAATATCTGCATCATTTTATTTTTTTAACAGGATGAGTGACATTACATTCAAGATTTTATGACACCAAGAAATTAATTGGCAACAAAATTTGACTTAAATGAAATAGTACCAATTAATACTTCATCCCCACTCATTTTTTCAACACTGACCACACACACACACACACACACACACACACACACACACACACACACACACACACACACACACACACACACACACACACACACACACACACACACACACACACACACACACACACACACACACACACACACACACACACACACACACACACACACACACACACACACACACACACACACACACACACACCACACACACACACACACACACACACACACACACACACACACACACACACACACACACACACACACACACACACACACACACACACACACACACACACACACACACACACTTTATTTTTGCAACTTCTCATCTAAAATGGTGACGTCTAGATACAGTTGTAATGAAGAATCAATTCAAGTTTCAAGGCTTTTTGTGTCATGTGCATATTGGCTACAGTGTAGATATGGCAATGAAAAACTTAAGTCACAGGCTCCTCCATCAGTGCAACATGAATATATATAGGACATAGAACAAATAAAACAGATAAAATAGTGCAAGAGAATGTTTTGAGAAGTGCAACAAAGTGTGAGGTCAAGCGAACTGACGTTAAAACACACTTTTACTGTGAGATATTACCTCTGATAGTGTCCTAAAGGCAGAGGTGGGAAGTAGTGGAGTTCAAATACTTCGTTACTTTACTTTACATGTTACTTGTTAGACGCTTTTATCCAAAGCGACTTACATACTCAATACTGTGGACAATCCCCACAGGAGCAATTTGGGGTGAAGTGTCTCAGGGACACAACGACATGCTGACTGCAGTGGGGTTTGAACCTGTGACCCCCTGATCCCACCACCAAGGCTCTATCCACTGCGCCACACGCCTCCACGTTACTGTACTTAAGTACATTGTTCTGGTATTAGTACTTTACTCCACTACTTATTTTTCGGACGACTTTTTACTTTGACTTCTTACATTTTGAACCCAAATACCTGTACTTTCTACTTCTTACATGTTGAACACAAATACCTGTACTTTCTACTTCTTACATGTTGAACACAAATACCTGTACTTTCTACTTCTTACATGTTGAACCCAAATACCTGTACTTTCTACTTCTCACATTTTGAACACAAATACCTGTACTTTCTACTTCTTACATTTTGAACCCAAATACCTGTACTTTCTACTTCTTACATGTTGAACACAAATACCTGTACTTTCTACTTCTTACATGTTGAACACAAATACCTGTACTTTCTACTTCTTACATTTTGAACCCAAATACCTGTACTTTCTACTTCTCACATTTTGAACACAAATACCTGTACTTTCTACTTCTTACATTTTGAACACAAATACCTGTACTTTCTACTTCTTACATGTTGAACACAAATACCTGTACTTTCTACTTCTTACATGTTGAACCCAAATACCTGTACTTTCTACTTCTTACATGTTGAACACAAATACCTGTACTTTCTACTTCTTACATGTTGAACACAAATACCTGTACTTTCTACTTCTTACATTTTCCAAACCGGCTGGTTCCTTTAGTTTGAATGTGTGTTTGGTGGCGTGATCATTATTATTTAGAGTCATTGCGTGCCTATTGATTTGAACACGATCCGTGTATCCATCATTTCCTGGTCTTCTCTAAAGAAGAGGGACCAATGAAAACGTTGTCATGTTGCCGTTGTTCAGCATGGAAACATTCATTAGCTAACAATGACATTATTGTTCTATTAATATAAAGGGAGGTCAGGTACTCTTTAAAACAGCTGCTAGTTATGGGTACTTTTTACTGAAGTACATTTCAAAGCCCTCTTTTACTTGAGTAAAGAAGTTTAGTCAGTACTTCTACTTTTACCAGAGTATTTTTAAACACGAGTATCTGTACTTCTACTCGAGTAAAGGATGTGTGAACTTTTGCCATCTCTGCCTAAAGGTCATTAAACTGAACCAAACCAACGTAACCAGAGCTTTAGGGAATATATTTGACATTATTTCCCATTTTAAGTGTCCTCACCAGTGATGTCCCGGCAGATGTCCACCACCCCCCCGATGTGGTCGTGGTGCCAGTGAGTGACGATGATCTCCTGGATGCTGGTGTTGAACTGTTTCAGAGCGAGCTTCAGACTGCTGATGTATTCAGGAACAGCTGATTCTCCAGTGTCTATCAGCACTCTCCTGGAATACAAACACACATATATAGATATATATTAGAATATAAATAATAATAATACATTTTATTTAAGGCGCCTTTCATGAAACCCAAGGACACTGTACAATTGGTTAAAAATTCTAAGAGGTAAAAGCAACAGAACCTGATAAAAACACAAACATACCATCAATATAGTTTCCTCTAGGCTTTAAACGTGGCTTTTCAAATTCATACACACCAATGTCTTAACCATTTACATGCATTTAGTTAATGTTACTTCTAAGGCTGAGCGATATGGAGAAAAATCACAATATTTCAAATATCAAATGCCACAATCTGGATTTTGTGGCAAAACTCTAGGGTTGAGCATTGATGATTTCAGAACATAAAGATGTATTATTTAGAATATTGAGATCAGGGTTCATACACTTTTTCACCAATGATTTTCAATGACTTCTCAATGACTTCTCCATGACCTTTACCTAATTTTCCATGACCAAAGAAATGACTCTTTCTCAGCGGTACCACTGAAAATGGTTTATTTTAACATGGAACAGGAAAATAAGGTCTGCATATGAAACATGTTGTGCCTATCTAAAACAAATCAAATAGGCTTACTAGCTTCTACAGGCTAAAGCAACTAAAATCTCTCACCAGCAAAATACCTCGTCAGTTAAATGCCATTTTACGTTTCATTACTACACGATACAGTATTTATTATCATTATAGTATTACTATTTCGGCGATTAGCTAAAATATAAATTATATTTGATGCAACTTTGGTTACATTTCCATGATTTTTCAAAACTTTGGGAATAATATTGTTTTCCATAACTTTGTCAGGGCCTGGAATTAGCATTTTGAATTTCCATGACTTTTCCAGGTTTTTAATGGCCGTAAGAACCCTGTGAGATAAATGTAATAAATAACCCTCAGTAGTGTGGAAAGAGAAGTTGGTAAAGAGCAAACACAGTCTGGTAAATTCAAAAATGTTCATCACAAAACCAGGAAAAAATACATTTGCGATTTTAGTAATCTTACACTATATCTAGTCTTATATTGCTATATAGATATAATATCGATATATCTAGCCATGCTTTCTTTCGTTCTTGTTTACTTTGCATACAAGTTAACCCATGCATTTGTGTTTTAACTTTTTAGGTATCACGATATTGTGCACTAATTATGTTTATCTAAGAAGGTAATGTATACAATATTTTATGAGCATAAAACTCTTGCATTGCCTCTAGACTACCTGCAAAAGAACATGTATTTATAGTCTATTTATGAGAGGATAAACCAAATGATTCCCTTAAACTGTGCAGAAGAATATGTATATTTCAAAACTTAGTGTGATATTTCCTAATTAAAACACTCCAAATTATTGTTATTTTTATATAAAATATATGCCGAAATAATCAGTAAAGTCTTGCAATTCAGTACACCTATTCAGTATTGGTCTATAAACAATGGATTTTACCCTACATGCAATAAAACACTAAATTCAGAGACATGTGAATGGACTTTGGCGTGACGTCATCTTCCATGAGCTGCATGAGCGTCAAACCAAACTGTATCGTTAATGGTTGTTTTAAAAAATAAAGGTATTCTGCAAATTGAATAATACACATGAAGGGGACTGGTGTCACCTTTTCCCGGTTCCGACCAGGTAGGTGTTGGTTCCCTGCAGGGTCATTGGTCCCGGGTTGCACCCCAAAACCCGAACCACGCGCGCGGACAGCTGCTCTATCCGGGGGATCACTGCACTCATACCTGCAGATTTTACTAACTCACCTGTAACATACAACAACCAATCATATGCAGGTTAAAGTCCAACCTCGAAAACAGGAAATATCACGGAAACGGCATGTGGTCAATGTTTACTTCCGGTGTGTGCAAGAGCTGCCTTCAAAATAAAACAATTTTTTATTTGATTTGATTTATTTCGAACGTGTAAAACAATTATACAAAACAAATAATACAATAATAATTAAATGAAACATGAGAATGATGATACTGTACAAACTTAAGCAGCATCAAATTGATACCGTGCCGCGCCACACTAATTGCGCCGCATAAGCACACAAAAAACATTAATTCATTTAATTTAATTTCAAATTAAATTAATTCATGTTTTTTTTGTGTTAATGTAATAGCAGTTAAAACAGGACCAGTCAAATTTGGTGATTAATCATCACCAAATGTCATTTAACACCCTTTCAAACTGTACATATTGTATCAGACTACTGGTATACATGAAAAACTGCAGTAAATATACAAAGAATAGACACTGAACTTGTATTGCGTGTGCCAGGTGTGATCCATGTGGGGGATGGGCACATAAGAGCGGGAAATGTGTCAAATTGTTCTGTGTGTGTGTGTGTGTGTGTGTGTGTGTGTGTGTGTGTGTGTGTGTGTGTGTGTGTGGTGTGTGTGTGTGTGTGGTGTGTGGTGTGTGTGTGTGATTCACATGGGGGGATGGGCACATAAGGGGGGGACACATCTAGAGTGTGTGTGTGTGTGTGTGTGTGTGTGTGTGTGTGTGTGTGTGTGTGTGTGTGTGGTGTGTGTGTGTGTGTGTGTGTGTGTGTGTGTGTGTGGTGTGGTGTGTGCGCGTGTGCGTGTGTGTGTGTGTGTGTGTGTGTGTGTGTGTGTGTGTGTGTGTGCGCGTGTGCGTGTGTGTGTGTGTGTGGGTGTTTGTGTTTGTGTGCGTGTGTTATCTGATCCGGATGGTTACTAATTCCTTTTCTTTATGGACCGGGAACACATGGGTGTTACAAAGTTGACTAAATCATCCAAAATTCAATGAAAGTGGTGATCAGCAATTTTATGTGTTCAAATGTCTGCTGTGAAGGATATCATGAAGCCTTAATGCAATCGAAACAAGAAAAAAAAAAGTTATGACTGATGAAAGTAGTAAATCGGTCAGATTTGACCCGAAGACAACAAAATTCCTGTGATACAGGAGTTTTGCATTATAATGACTAACAGACCGCCTGATGAAAATGCAATCACAGTTTTCTTTAATTAGCAATTCTACTTCAGTTTACATTGATTTCAGGCTGAACTGCCTCCACTGGCTAAATGGCTCATTTATTTTGTCTGTTTGTAATTTCAAAGTGTTTAGTGGATATGTTTGAGACCAACATTGAAGATCTGGCTCTTTATGAGGTTATCTGCATTATTGAATACAAGATATTGTGCAACGTTTTTTTCATCGTATTTTTTTATTTACCTTTATTTATTTATCTCTTTTTGCACATTCTTTATTTACCTTCCTATATTATATAAATATTTTCATTTATTTACTTTAGCCAGAGTAAAGATTCTCACTTTTTTAGGAAATCAAAAAATTCTCACTTCTTAAAGAAAATCCTCATGATTTACATTTCTGAATGTGTGAGAACAGGTTTCTGCTAAATAAAAAAAATGGATGAAGATATTTGTGGTCATTTTGTCTCTTTGAGGTCTTTTAGTTTGCGTTTATTCGTCATTTTGTGTCTCTTTGCAGTTTTTGTGTGTCTTTTTGTAGCTATTTCGGTCTATTTGTAGTCACTTCGTAGTCAGAGGTGTCTTTCTGACGGGACGGAGCGGGGGGGGGGGCAGGAAGAGAGCCTGACATCCTGCCTCTCATGAACATATAAGTACACAGATATCTGAATATAAGTACACAGACTGAGGACGGAGACATCATGGAGCACCTGCTGCTGCTGCTGCTGCTGCTGAGCTCCGGTAACACATATTTATTATAAACGTCATTATTATTATGTATTATTACTAATGGTTTATTGTAGATATTAAATATGATATTGTTATATCATCACAGCAGAGTCATTGCCTAAAAGATTATTAAACTACTAACAGTAAAACAAAATGAAGCTAAAATAAAGATATTTGTATAAACCTGAGAAGTTAAGAGTTGATGATAACAAATTAATAATGAGACATATTTTATTTGATCTTTTATTGGACATTTTACTTTACCTTGCTATGTTTATATACTTTTTAAATTGTATTTTACCTGTTGAATGTACTTCATTTCTTTAACTTCTTATGTCCGTATACATATGTGTATTCTGTTTTATTTAATAAAATGGTTTTATTGCAGGTCCTTACTTCATATATTTATTTACCTTTATCTATTTATCTCTTTTTGCATATTCTTTATTCACCTTCCTATATCATATACATATTTTCATTTATTTACTTTATAAAGCTCATTATTTGTATTTAGAGATTTCCAGGAACAGCCCCCAGTTTCAGAGATAGTGATGAAGCAACCAGAGGCTTTTAATCTGATAGGAACATGTAGTCATGGTGACAGGAAACCACCTGTCATCTGTCCCCAAAATAAACTTTACGCCTTTTCCTGCTCAGAAACGCTCTACAGTCACCAGTCAAGATTCCTAATTAAGATTGTCACCATGACTGCCGTTTTCAGCAGATTACATATGAATAGTTCAGTCAGACACCTCACGTGATCTTATGTTTATTAGAAGCTATAGGCTCGGGCCTCATCACTCCACAGATTTACACAGAACACTGAGGGATGATTAGATAACTCTCCCCCGAGTCTACAGGTGGATGCTGGGGTGGTGAGCAACTGCAACATGAACGCAGCAGTAGCATTAGCAACAGTAGCATTAGCAGCAGTAGCATTAGCAGCAGTAGCATTAGCAGCATTAGCATTAGCGTTAGCGAGGCAGATCTGGCAGTGTGGTAGTGTTACCACTGACAGGTCTCTCTTGAAAATGCGACCTTGTGTCTCAATGAGATTTTACACCTGTATAAATAAAGGCAAAATAAAAAAATTGTTCATGCGTTGTAGATCGAGAGGTATCTCACGATCGTCGGGCGGGTTGTCGTCTCCACTGTCCGACTCGGAGTTCGTTTCATCCGATTCAGACTCAGAGGCATATGGTTCGAATCTGTAGGGCATATAGCCAATATCGTCTACGATGTCATGACTATCACTTTCCGATACTTCAGCCTCATATGAGCTCTCAGACACGTTCAAAATTAAACTGTCATCGCTGTCTGAACTCGCTGCTGTGTGCGCCATCGTGCGTTTGCATGCAGATGCTGGGATCCGGAACGGTGCAGCTGGAGCTCTTGGCCCGCAATTACGTCACACATAATTTGGCGGGATTTGAAGAACCCCTGAGAAGATCCAGAATATGGTCAACATTGAAGGGGAGATTAATGGTTATCAAAGTACAAATATCCCAAATCAGTTCAGTAACGGTTTCAAGGGGACAATATTTACTAAAATTGATGGGTTTGGATGATGGGGGAAACTCGTGTCACAGGCTCTTTAAATAGAGCGGCAGGTTTAGGAGAATGTGTTTGGTTGGTTGTAAGAGAGACGAGGCACGTCACGTGTACTGTACTGTAAATGTATCATTGGTGCTCGAGCTCTTCCATTTATTATTAATATGCACAAGTTATACATCTGCTGCATCGTGTTTAAATATCTGCTGCATCATGTCTACATCTACTGCCTTATGTTTAAAGAGTCCTAAAGGATCTTTATCCTGACGTTTAATCTCCTGACTCTCTCCTCAGGACTCCAGGCTGAAGGAACTCTCGACCAAACAGGTAAACAGAGAACAGAGAATCACTGAAGCAGAACCAGTTTTAGTCTCAACGCTTCTTAAACATCTTTAGATATTATTCTCTTGGCTAACCGTGCTATTTTGACCACCCTGACCAGCCAACCTACGAAGGAAAAATAGCAGTAAATAAAAGTAGATAAACAGCCTATTTTAAATGTTATATTTGACATGAAAGTTGGAGAGATATTTGATGATTTAAAATATGTTTTGAATTTTATTCTTCCACTGTATCTTTAACATAAAAAGTGCATGTTTCAGCATTTTGGGTACGGAGAAATGTCAAAGGTGGGACAGAAAATGTCCGCCAATTCTTAAAGACCCATAAATATGTTTCTGTAATAAGGTCTCATGTTGGTCCACAGGAAGGGGCGGGACTTCCCCTCTCAGTGAACTCTCTTCTTTTACTGATGACTCTCCTGTTTCTGTTCAGAGTCTTTCAAGCTGGTGGGAGGATCCAGTCGCTGTGAAGGAGAACTGCAGCTGAACCATCAGGGAGACTGGAGACCAGTGGCTGATCCTTATCGGCTCTGGACCCTGAAGACAGCAGGTGTTATCTGCAGAGATCTCGACTGTGGCTCTGCTGTTTCTGTAGGAGAGAGACAGGAGTCCTCAAAGAGACCTGTGTGGAGGATGAGACCTCACTGTTTTTATTCTAGATCTGCTCTGAGGAAGTGTGCAGAACCACTTTCCTCGAGTCGTGACATCATGCATCTCACGTGCTCAGGTAAGCCCATCAGTCCCATCATGCATCTCACCTGCTCAGGTAAGCCCATCAGTCCCATCATCACAGTAATGCACACATGCAGGACCTGATGACCGGCTGCTCAGTACTTCAGGATTCAGGGAACATTTATTGTCTTTCTGCTCCTACAGGTTTCACAGCCTAGCCTAGTGGCTGCATCTGCTGCAGCTGCTGAATGCACCAAGATATCTCTCTGTGTTCTTTTCTCTGCAGACTCTGTCAGGCTGGTGAATGGGACCAGTCTGTGCTCAGGCAGACTGGAGGTGAAGTCTGACCCGTCTAACCCGTCCTGGTCCTCAGTGTGTGAGGCTGACTTTGACCAGCAGGATGCTCAGGTGGTCTGCAAGCAGCTGGGCTGTGGGGCTCCTTCAGTCCTCCAGGCGGCGCTCTATGGAGAAGGGGAGGCTCCAATGGGGACCAAAGAGTTCCAGTGTGGAGGCCATGAGTCTGCTCTCCTGGACTGTAGCTCAGCCTCAGAGAGAAACACCTGCTCACCTGGCAGAGCTGTTGGCCTAACCTGCTCAGGTAGAGAGGAGCTGTGATTGGTTCATTCTGTTCTGACAGAGAGGGGAAGCCCCGCCCCTTCCTGTGTCCCCATGGGAACTTATTTCTGAGGAAACGTACGGCAGCGAGAGACGAACAGTTTATAGCGTTTGAATTGTTCCATGAATTACACATCTGAGGTTTGGCCGTGTTAAAGATCCTCTTTCAGTGACGTAGGTCACTCTGTGTGCTTCATTTAGGGTGGAGTTAAACTGCTCATGAACTGCATCTCTCGCCTCCAACCATCTACGTCTCCCACACGGCGTTAGCTCGGCCTGCTAGCTAGCGTTAGCTCGGTAGCTGTGTTCCACTCACCTGTAAAGTGATCTCACCTGATGAGTTTCATCCAGCCCGCCGGGAAGAGAGAGAACGTAGAGAGAGTTCATGGTGAAGAGAAACAGGCATCGTAGCTTCAGAGAGGAAGTCTGTCAGTTACACAACCTTTGGGTTGAAGGTATTTCACACGCTTTCAACAGTTTTACAATAAACTGAGACTTTGATTCCTTTACCTCAAACTGTATGTGTTAGACATGGAACACTTCAAACAGGACCAGAAATGATTGGTCTCTCTCCACTGAGCATAACTATGTTTTCTGTAATAAGGTCTCATGTTGGTCCACAGGAAGGGGCGGGACTTCCCCTCTCAGTGAACTCTCTTCTTTTACTGATGACTCTCCTGTTTCTGTTCAGAGTCTCTCAGGCTGGTGGGAGGATCCAGTCGCTGTGAAGGAGAACTGCAGCTGAGACATGAGGGAGAATGGAGACCAGTGATTGATACTTATCATGACTGGACCCTGAAGAGAGGAGAAGCTGTCTGCAGAGATCTCAACTGTGGCTCTGCTGTTTCTGTAGGAGAGACACTTGAGTCCCCAGTGAGACCTGTGTGGAGCATCAAACCTCGCTGTTTGTATTCTGGATCTGCTCTGAGGGAGTGTGCAGGACCAGCTTCCTCTAGTAAAAACCTGAATCCCACCTGCTCAGGTAAGCCCATCAGTCCCATCATGCATCACAGTTAGGCAAACACACATGCAGCAGCTGGAGTATCACCTGTCTGTCTGTCTGTCTGTCTGTCTGTCTATCTATCTGTCTCTCTGTCTGTCTCTCACCTGTCTGTCTGTCTGTCTGTCTGTCGTTCTATCTCTCACCTGTCTGTCTCTCACCTGTCTGTCGTTCTGTCTCTCACCTGTCTGTCTCTCACCTGTCTGTTGTTCTGTCTCTCACCTGTCTGTCGTTCTGTCTCTCACCTGTCTGTCTCTCACCTGTCTGTTGTTCTGTCTCTCACCTGTCTGTCGTTCTGTCTCTCACCTGTCTGTCTCTCACCTGTCTGTTGTTCTGTCTCTCACCTGTCTGTCGTTCTGTCTCTCATCTGTCTGTCATTCTGTCTCTCACCTGTCTCTCTCAACCTGTCTGTCTCTCACCTGTCTGTCTGTCACCTGTCTGTCTCTCACCTGTCTACAGACTTGCTGCTTCAGCCCATCATCTCTGTGTCCTCCTCCATGTACGGGGTCTCCGGGGCCCAGCAGCAGGGGTTCCAGGTGTTCAGAGGCTCCACCTTCAGCATCAGCTGCTCCATCCAGCCTCAGTACCCAGGAGGCTCCTTCCTGCTCAGCTCCTCCACTCACACCTACATCCACCCAGCTGTCAATCACAACGCCCACTTCCTGTTCCCGGCTGCAGAGCCCGCCCACCAGGGAAGCTACAGCTGTGTTTATCACCTGTTGGTTCGCTCTCATAGCTTTTCCTCTGAGAGCCGTCTGCTGTCTGTCACTGTCTCAGGTAAGCTCAGTGTTCACCTGTCTGTCTCTCACCTGTCTGTCTGTCACCTGTCTGTCTGTCACTGTCTCAGGTAAGCTCAGTGTTCACCTGTCTGTCTCTCACCTGTCTGTCTGTCACCTGTCTGTCTGTCACTGTCTCAGGTAAGCTCAGTGTTCACCTGTCTGTCTCTCACCTGTCTGTCTGTCTGTCACTGTCTCAGGTAAGCTCAGTGTTCACAGGAAGAGGATCATGTCTGTGTCTCACCTGTCTGTCTGTCACCGGTCTGTCTGTCACCTGTCTGTCTCTCATCTGTCTGTCTGTCTGTCTGTCATCTGTCTGTCTCTATCCTGTCAGTCTGTCACTGTAAGCTCAGTGTTCACAGGAAGAGGATCATATCTGTTTTTCACCTGTCTATCTCTCACCTGTCTGTCTGTCTGTCTGTCTGTCTGTCTGTCACTGTCTCAGGTAAGTTCAGTGTTCACAGGAAGAGGATCATGTCTGTGTCTCACCTGTCTGTCTGTCACCTGTCTGTCTGTCATCTGTCTGTCTCTCACCTGTCTGTCTGTCACTGTCTCAGGTAAGCTCAGTGTTCACAGGAAGAGGATCATGTCTGTTTCTCACCTGTCTGTGTCTCACCTGTCTGTTTGTCACCTGTCTGTCTGTCACTGTCTCAGGTAAGCTCAGTGTTCACAGGAAGAGGATCATGTCTGTGTCTCACCTGTCTGTCTGTCACCTGTCTGTCTGTCACCTGTCTGTCTCTCACCTGTCTGTCTGTCACTGTCTCAGGTAAGCTCAGTGTTCACAGGAAGAGGATCATGTCTGTGTCTCACTGTGTGCTTTTTAAAGAGGCCGCTGTCCCACTCTGGGAAACATATGAAAGACTAAAGAGTGCAGTTAGTGGGACTGTTGGCCTCATGCTGTGATGTCTGTCTGATGTTCCCTCAGATGCCACACCTCTGATCATCCGAGCCGTCGTCCTGCTGCTGATTCAGCTGCTGGTTCTGCTGCTGGCAAACGGCCTTTACTTCTTCTGTAAGGTAGGCATGTGTTCAGAGGACTGTGATGTGGGCCTGAAGAGGAGCAGGAAGTCACCTAAACATGGTGAAGCAGCGTTCAGTTATTATGCTCCAAATATCTGGAACAAACTCCCAGAAACATGCAGTTCCGCTGCAACTCTTACTACTTTTAAATCCAGGCTGAAGACCTTTCTTTTTGCCGCTGCTTTTAATTGATATATTCAGGCTTATTATTTTTAGGGTTAAAGTCCCCTACGTGTATTGGCGTTAAAGTCCCCCCGTAGTTAAAGTCATTATTGGGGTTAAAGTCCCCTACATGTGCCGTTTTGGTTTCAAGACCCTGGTTCACGGAGGACACCAAAAAGTCCTAGAAAAGATCAATTAAACTTAACTAATGTGCATTTAAAAAAGGGGAATAGTTTCGGCGAAAACTAAAAGGTACCATGGGGTCAGATTAGAATTTTCCAAAGGGGGGTTCGTTTAGCATGAAACACTTGAAATAACTAAAGGACAAGTTAAACAAGAAAGTAGAAAGAAAGGGAGGTGATAGAAAACTATTTCTGCTAAAAAGTTAGCAATGATTGAGAGTCAGACCTAAACATTTCAGATGCACTGTAACTTTAATTCATGTACCTTTGCTTTTAAATGAGTGTTTTTAAATGCCATTTTATATCGTTGCTTTTAAATGAGTGTTTTTAAATGTCAATTAATAATATGTTTCTTAATGCTCTTAATGTCTTTCATTTTTGTAAAGCACTTTGAATTGCCTTGTGTTGAAATGTGCTACATAAATAAACTTGCCTTGCCTTACCTCTGTGCTGTCATGTCTCTGCAGGCCACCAGGGGGCAGCGCAGACAGGAGGATATGGATCTGGAGGAAGTTAACCTGGCTGTCCCTGCAGAGGAAGAGTAGCAGCTCCTTCCGACACACACATATAATATATAGCATATCCCATAAACATAAACAAATTTGATTGGGTTGAAAGAGAGGCTGTCTGCAACCTCAATGCTAGCTGCCATCAAATACTCTGTCCTGCTTACACTGTTAAATGCTTATTTGGATCATATTAAAACCCTAAAATAATATCTGGTCTCAAATCTATCAACTGTATATGCAACAATACAATACCATGCGATGTGATACTTTACGATACGATATAATTGGATTTGACACAACGCTTAACGTTAGGATTTATATATACAGTATGGTTAGAATAGGATTTGACACGATCCGATACGCTACCATACGATTTGATACGACAACATACAGTACAAAACGATACAATTCATTTAGTTACGCTACGTTACGCTACGTTACGTTATGTTACGTTACGATGATACGGTACAATACAGTAGCCTACAGTATGATACGACACCATAAGATACCACAAGATAGCATAAGAAACCACAAGATAGCATAAGAAACGATCATACTTTATTGTAGGTCTCAGTATTTCTTATTGAACAACAGCTGCTCCACCTGCAACATCAACAAGGACAAGAAATAGGAAAACAGACATACAGTAGATAACATTACAGTCACTGAAAACAGTTTTTTCACGGTACATTTGATCTGGGATTATTAATTACGTATTACAGTTTAGGGTTGTCTTGTAAAAAAAGAACACGAGGGATGATCTTGTCCAACAGGCTTTACATTACGTTGAACCCATTAATGTAATCCTACATGCATTACGACAGCAGATCGATGCAGTCAAACGAAGCCACGAAGTCTAGGGAAAAGAGGCGATAAATCTCCAGATCCCCCACACACACATCCTCCACATTAACACCTTGTTTGATATTTGTCTATAATAGATGTTGACCCATGAAAATAGGTGGGGATCATTTAGCCCTCTATAATATGTACAGGTAGAAAAAGTTGGAGGAGGGGGAAGCAGAGAGACATTATTTCCCTAAATGAAATGGATCCTGACATCTGGGCGTGCAAGGGCCCCTTCCTCCTCCTCCTCTTCCTCCTCCTCCTCTTCCTCTCTCTCTCTCTCTCTCTCTCTCTCTCTTTGTAATTACACGACATAATGGTGGTGCAGTCGGCCCGTAATCTCCCATTATAATCAGTCTCGGCTGCCTCCACTAGCTCTTCACCACGGATTCTAATTCAATATAAATGTAAATGACTGGGGGAGAGAGAAAGGGAGGTGTGTGTGTGTGTGTGTGTGTGTGTGTGTGTGTGTGTGTGTGTGTGTGTGTGTGGTGTGTGTGTGTGTGTGTGTGTGTGTGTGTGTGTGTGTGTGTGTGTGTGTGTGTGTGTGTGTGTGTGTGTGTGTGTGTGTGTGTGTGTGTGTGTGTGTGTGTAAATGTTGAGGCTGATCTCCACACAAATACGTACTTATATTTACAGAAGTCATGAACAACTTAATAATAGTTTGAACAAATTGAATGTAGACTGTAACGACCGTAGAGTGTTAGTGTGGTTTTAAACTGGCATTATGTTGACATTAAATATTATATTGTGTTGTTTTGGCACCAGAAGTAACAAAAGATGGTGGATTTAGGTACAACCAATTGCTGTGCACAACATTTTTAAGTGTCCAAGATGTTAAAATAAATATTCCTTAACTGAAAATACACCATGGTCAAAGTTGCAAACCGTAAAACACATTGGTAGCAACCTGTTAATCACAGGATAGCATTCCCTGCTTTATTTAGTATTTTACTCTCAATCGTAGAATAATTAAATTGTGCAGGAACGAGTCCTTAAACCGGAAATGAGTCAGCAATTTAGCACTTCATCATGTTTTTGTGTGTCTAAATGAGACGACTAAACGTCATCACGCCCAACATTAGCCGCCTTTAGCTTAGCTTAGCGGTGGTGACGTGAAGTCATGTGACCGTGCTGTAGTTCCTTTATAGCCCAACATTAGCCGCCTTTAGCTTAGCGGTGGTGACGTCAAGTCATGTGACCGTGCTGTAGTTCCTTTATAGCCCAACATTAGCCACCTTTAGCTTAGCGGTGGTGACGTGAAGTCATGTGACCGTGCTGTAGTTCCTTTATAGCCCAACATTAGCCAGCTTTAGCTTAGCGGTGGTGACGTGAAGTCATGTGACCGTGCTGTAGTTCCTTTATAGCCCAACATTAGCCACCTTTAGCTTAGCAGTGGTGACGTGAAGTCATGTGACCGTGCTGTAGTTCCTTTATAGCCCAACATTAGCCGCCTTTAGCTTAGCGGTGGTGACGTGAAGTCATGTGACCGTGCTGTAGTTCCTTTATAGCCCAACATTAGCCGCCTTTAGCTTAGCGGTGGTGACGTGAAGTCATGTGACCGTGCTGTAGTTCCTTTATAGCCCAACATTAGCCGCCTTTAGCTTAGCGGTGGAGACGTGAAGTCATGTGACTGTGCTGTAGTTCCTTTATAGCCCAACATTAGCCACCTTTAGCTTAGCGGTGGTGACGTGAAGTCATGTGACCGTGCTGTAGTTCCTTTATAGCCCAACATTAGCCGCCTTTAGCTTAGCATTGGTGATGTGAAGTCATGTGACCGTGCTGTAGTTCCTTTATAGCCCAACATTAGCCGCCTTTAGCTTAGCATTGGTGATGTGAAGTCATGTGACCGTGCTGTAGTTCCTTGATAGCCCAACATTAGTGAAGAAATCTTGAAAAAAACTCTCAGTTAAAATAGTCACTGTGGTAATAAATCAAGGGTATTTTTTTCATAGACTTCTATACAATCTGACTTCCCCACATTAGTCGCCCCCCTGCTGGATATTTAAAAGACTGCAGGTAGCCTATAAGGCACACGCTCAATGGCTTTAAAATATTTAGTTTAGTCTTATAACTCTTTTTACAAATGTCATCAGAGACATTTTCCCATACTATAAGTGAGAAATATCGTCTGAGATATTTTAGATAGGCAATTTTCCCCCCATAATTAATTCATATAATATTGCATTTTGAAATGAAGCCCTTCATCTGTCATCTGGGCTTTAACAGAAGATGATATCAAGTTAATATAATATTCAACTCATATAAAAGATCCAGCTGAACATGGCACCTTTGATACCTGCAAAGTAACTGTGAACAATCTCATTGAGGCTTCAGTCTGCGGTGAGGAATGAGGTAATATGTTACTAAACTATATCGCAATTCATAATTCAAAATGCTGCGTAATTAACTTTTTTTTCCTCCGGAGCCTTAATGTGATACTAAATTAAATAAGTGGAGAGAGGGAGAGAGGGAGAGAGGGAGGGAAATATCAATTTAGAGGACGAGGGAGTATAAGGGTCTGAGTGAGTATTACAAGATGGTGAGCTAGAGAGAAGAAACGTGAGTTTAAACCTCCATGGGATTACTTTAATTTCGTATTTAAGAATTTTAAATATTTATACCTGTTCTTTAAACACTACTGTATATATTGTATATGCTAGATTTACGGTATATTGTAGTACAATGCACACATTCTTATTTCAATAATTCGTTTTTTTTTTTTAATACATGTAAACTTTTTAGGTTAAAATAAATACATTATTATTTATTATTATGAAGTTATTTTTTATTGTACATTCTTACCTACCTTGTTATCTTTGTTTTACTTTCCTATGATTATATGCACATTTTTTATTGCAGATTCTTACTTTGACTTTCATTTCCAACAGTTATTAACAAAATCTCACTTTATTGATAAGTTAAATCTTGTTTATTCGGTACATAAACTGAAATGTAATAACAACACGTTTGTGGTTTTATTGGGATTAATATGGACCAGAAACTTCCTGCAGCCAAGAGATGATCCGGTCATTTCAACGCTTCATGTGATTATGTGCTTAAATGAAAGATTACAAATGATTTAGTAAGTATTAGTATTATGCAGACATGCGAGTGGTTTCTATTTCTAAGACAAATTAGTATAAAAAATGATATTATATTATATACAAAATCAAGTTCAAGTGTGTCAGTGCTTGTCTTCATTATTGTTATTATTATTATTTTATATAGAGTATTTTTTTAACCAAATATTTCTTGTACTTGTACTTTTTTTTTTCAAATTGTATTCTTATTTAAAAACTAGCTTCTAAAATGGTTTTATATTAGATTTTTTTTACAAATGAATTCCTCTTTTTATGTTTATGTATGAACCATTACACACCAAAGCAAATTCCCTATATGTGTAACCCTACTTACCAAAAATAACAATAATAATATTTTTTACGTGACTCAAAGACCCTTTAAAGGGTACAATTCATTAAAACAACATTAAAAAAAAACACTTAAAATGTAAAAAAATATATAAACACAACATTACATTACATTGCATTTAGCTGACGCTTTTATCCAAAGCGACTTACAATAAGTGCATTCGACCAAGAAGATACAAACTTGAAGAAAACAGAATCATATAAGTACATCAGGTTTCATAGAGCCAAAACATTTCAAGTGCTACTCAACTGGCTTTAGATAAGCCAGTCCTTTGTTAGTATATAAGTGCTTTGTTAGTCATTTTATTGCTCGAAGTGGAGTCGAAAGAGATGAGTTTTCAGTCTGCGCCGGAAGATGTGTAAGCTTTCTGCTGTCCTGATGTCAATGGGGAGCTCATTCCACCATTTTGGAGCCAGGATAGCAAACCCACGTGTTTTTGCTGATGGGAACTTGGGTCCCCCTCGTAGTGCGGGTGCAGCGAGCCGTTTGGCTGATGCCGAGCGGAGTGCACGTGCTGGGGTGTATGGTTTAACCATGTCCTGGATGTAGGAAGGGCCAGAACCATTCACAGCATGGTACGCTAGTACCAGTGTCTTGAAGTGGATTCTAGCAGTTACTGGAAGCCAGTGAAGTGAGCGGAGGAGCGGCGTGGTGTGGGAACATTTTGGAAGGTTGAAGACCAGACGAGCCGCTGCATTCTGGATGAGCTGCAGAGGTCGGATGGCACATGCAGGTAGACCAGCCAGGAGGGAGTTGCAGTAGTCTAGGCGTGAGATGACGAGAGCCTGGACCAGAAGTTGCGTCGCTTTCTGGGTCAGGAGGGGACGTTCTGATTAATTCTAATTAATATATGAGTGTACAGGTGCTATGTTCCCATTAGAAGATATTAAGTAACACCTGTAAGTGTGTGTTTT